GAGACACAACCACAACCAAAAAAAAGAGTAAACAAAGATAATGGCACAGTGAAAGGCAAACTAACTGAAAAGAAGAATAACATGGTATCATCAAGAATTGAAGGATTACTAGAGAAGATGTCCAGTGTTCAAAATGAACACCCAGGTGTAAGCTTCAGTAATTCTCCAGCCCTGCAGTCATCTGAAGAGCACTTTGATGTAGACATTGTCCAGTCATGTTCGAATTTGATGTCACGTCATAATCAACATGTCGTTGATGAAGATGATGAAATGTTTAACTATCAGCCAATGTCAGATTTAGAATGGTAGATCTAGATCTTGAAAGGCAAGCCCCCCCTATACCTAGAATGCCACCGCGAACACCACAACAATATCGAGATACTGAAAGGCAAGCCACCCCCTATGGAGACACCCAGAGAGCCTGTCAACAAAACCTCAAAACAGCCGGCTACAAGTCAGCAATATCTGCATTTACATCCTGTGAGGCAAACCCCCCCCTGTACCTAGAATGCCACCGCGAACGCCACAACAATATCGAGATACTGAAAGGCAAGCACCCCCACCAAGGACACCACCTGCAACACTCCAACATCAGCATCCAAGGACGGGGGGGAAGACGCCACGGTCGGCATTTAAAAGACCATCAGAGACTGTGGAAACTTGTTTATCTTGCAAACGTCTGCAACTAGAAAATGAAGAGCTACGTCTAAAAATAGAAGAGCTCATTGAAAATAAAGGTACAATTACAGTGCACTAGTATATATTATAAACTGATTAGCAATCATTGACTACAAAAAAGAAAATGTAATTTGCAAGTGGACTTTTTGCAGTGCTTTAAAGTTCTGCAAGTTCTTTGATCTGTTAAAGCATGTGTTTTTTTTGCATTTAAAAATTATTGTTTTTTTTTTAATATTTTGTTGTTGTGAAGTTACATACGTGAAACACCTCAGTGAACAATAATATGAAATGGTGTAATTGTACTGTGTTTATACAGCTCTATAAGCCTGCTCCTAAGTGCTGATAAAAAAATGGATTTTAAAATGTTATGTTCAACATCTGATCGAGTTTTTTCGATATTCATTACAGTAGCTGAGCAACCAAGGCCAGGAAAGGTCAACAGCCTGTTGGCTGATCGATTTCAGGTATGAAATATGCATTTTTAGTGTTCTAAGATGCTTTCACTTTCCAAAAGGTTATATTTATTGTATTTCATGAACGCTTTTGGTATGGTTTTGTCATTTTGACAAGATCAATGATTTTGTAAAAACTGTATAATGATATATTGTTGATTGTTTTTTCTTTTATATATAGATGGTTCTATTGACAAGGGCTTGTCCGACAGTTTATGTTTATCAAACATCAGTGGAACAGGCATCGAGGAGAAAAACTGCATCGTCATGTGCAGCTTATCTCCTTAATGTTTTCTACACCACCACTGAGTTGGTTGGTAGAAACCTGACAGGTGCCAATGGCAAAATTGCCATTGACAAGGAAATACTAGAGAGTATAATTAGTAAGTATATATAGTGTTAAGTGTATGGTGAATACAATGTTCATAGTGCAAATGCCCTTGAATCATGGAAAAAAATGAGAAATCTGGAACGTACAAACCATGCAGTATATTTGAGCAGCAAGTGTGCATTTGGTCTGCACTTGTTCTGGCTCAGTAATAACATACAATATTAATACAACCTGTAATAGAGACTTGTTGTTAGCAACTATTTTGTTGATATATTATTCAATGGTTCAAGTGTAATTTTCTCTAAGCTATTGAGGAATATTAAGTACGAATTTACTTTATATTATGAAAATTGCAAGCTAGAGAAGTGCAAATCCCATATACACAGTGCATTGTGCAACACAAATAAATGATTGCTTGGTTCTTTTTGTGTTTATTATACTCTATAGCTAGAGCAAACACAGAAAAACCATGAAATAAAATCAAACTAAAGACTTAAACAAATATAGCGGCTATATCATTTATATATATAATATATTTAGAGACAATTTGTCAATATCAATGAACCAGAATGCAATCAAGATGATTAAAAAATTGTCCCATGAGTGTTCATTTTCATTGTGTTCAGCTTTATTGACACCAGAAAATTGTCTCTAATTAGCTGCTATGAATTGTTAGTATTTTGTGTGTGTGTTGGTTTTTTTTGCTCTAAAATTATTGCTTTATTAATTAACATCACGTTATTTTTTTCTTCAGATTTTACTATGGCATATCACAAAGATAGTACAGAATCCATAATTAGGGTAGGCCTTAGGAATAAACTGTCGGCAATACAGTCAAGATCAGCAAGGAATAACATACAATAAAATTTATTGTATCGTGCTTCGATGCTGAACGAGACGTAATATAATTGTTTTTGATTAAATTGTGATTTATTGTTATACYGTCCAGTTAATCTTATAGATTGTAATTATTTCTTATTTTACATTGTATATAACAAATCAAGTGATTTTTAAATGAATTATTTATGATTTTATATATGCCTCACTTAAAAAAACCATTTTAATTTGCAAAACTTGATATTGCACAAAGTTTGCATGCMGCTATAAAATTCTAAGTTTAAAATCTGTTTGCATTTTTGAGCATCTTTTCTCGTATATCATGTCAAAGAAGCTCTCAMGTTGTTCTATTAACTGCTGAAATTGTGTAGGAATATTATTAAAAAATTAATTAAAATTATGTACTATTTTTACACTTTGTAAATGTATAGCACTGGTATGCAAAAATGCATTGTGGTTGGGACAATTATCTTTTTTAATATTATTGGGATATCTTATTATAAAAAATATATATAATTATACATGTCATATTTTTACTTTTGCATGCATTCAACATATATAACTAAACATTGAGCATGCAAATAATGTAAT